ATTCTTTCATTCTTTCATTCTTTCATTCTTTCATTCTTTCATTCTTTCATTCTTTCATTCTTTCATTGTTTCATTCTTTCATTCTTTCATTCTTTTATTCTTTCATTCTTTTATTCTTTCATTCTTTTATTCTTTCATCCTTTCATCCTTTCATCCGTTCATTCTTTCATTCTTTCATCCTTTCATTCTTTCATTCTTCCATCCTTTCATTCTTTCATTCTTTCATTCTTTCATACACAAAATTTCTCATTTTTTTTTTACCTGAACAATTTTCTGTTTAATCTTGATATTCTTTCCCTCTTTCTTTTTTCTTTCCTTTTCCCTTCTTTGTTCCCTCCCCTTTAAAGTAGAAATTCAAGGTTACTTTTTAATGACATAATTCGTCGCAAGGTCACGTGGACACACCCTTATTCTAAATATATAGGTCTACACCTGGTCAGTCGGGCGGGAAGAGGGGGGGGGGGGCTTGAGATACCTAAAGCATTTTAACCTCGTTGGGGCAGAGATTCCAATGGGGGAGGGGAGCAGAGATTCCAATGGGGGGAGGGGGCAGATATTCAAATAGATATTTGTGTGGATTTTTTATTAACATTTTCTGCGAGAGTAAATTATTCTTGTATATTTTTTAAAAAAGCAAACTTTTCCATTTATAATGGATAAAAAAATGGTTTAGCGTAGCCTCGTAAACCTCCTGAAAACCAGTGTCAGGCCTCAATGGGGCGGACTCGACCCCTAAAGTTTTAACCATTTTATAACTATGTTAGACAATGAAAATTATTGGTTAACATATATTAAATATACATTTAGTTCTTCAGTGTATTATAAAGGGGGTAAAGGCAAAAAAAGTTTATTTCCTTTTGAAATTCGTCTTCTTTTCAAATCATCAAATAAATAAAACTTACTCGAAACATAGGTAATTTTAAATGTGTTTTTAAAATCAAAATACATTAATAAATATCGGAAAATGTCATAACATTGCTTTTTATGTCTAACATTGTACTGAAATGGTTAAAACTTTAGGGGGAGTCCGCCCCATGCAAGGGCTCCATGCATGACACCAAAACATATATAAATTAAAAAATAAAAAACTTCAGAAAAATCACACAAACTTTTAGGTCTAGAATATGAAGACGACTTTAAGACTATTAGTTTGTCTTTAAATAGTCCAATAAACATGAGAAACAACAATTGAGCAGTGTAAACAGACACATTTCACTCATGAAGTGATTAAATAACTAAGTAAAAAACGATATTTGTTTCAAGTTCATTCGAACGACTTTAAATCGATCGTTTTCTTGTTCATTTGAAAAATATAGTTTTTCATTACTCTGAACGATCCAAATCGTTCGTCCATCGTTCGTTTTGTTCGTTCGTCAACAAAACAATGCCCATCTCTACAGAGAGCTTATTATCTGGCTGTTTACCGGCTGAAAACTTTATAAAAAAAATATTTTTGAGAATATTCTGGATTATTTCTAGTGAATTCATTTCAGAATCCTAGAGGTTTCTTTCCATGGAAGTAATTCATTATTATTATTTGATTTTTAATTTTTTTTTATATCCTCTCCATTTATTCGTGTTACCCTGGTGGTTTTATACTTTTATCAGTATTTAATTCATAAAGATTATATAATTTTTATATATGTGGTCTTACAGTGAAATAGTGCTTAAAAAGTGTAAATATTAAAATGACTTTTTACTAAAAAAAAACTTAATTTTCTAATCTCACTTCGGTGGGGGTGTGCGTGTATGAGTGCAGGGTGTGAGAGTGTGTGTGTGTATGAGTGCAGGGTGTGAGAGTGTGTGTGTGTGTTAATAAATCAGCTGTTTTCTAAGAAATCGATAAATGGTTGGTCTATAGAGTTACTCCAACATTTCAGAGAAGAGAGTTTACTTTAGTTTCCTGGTTTAATAGTTCTACAGTTCTATAGTTCTACAAGTTTATAGTTCTACATATCTACAGTTCTACAGTTCTACAGTTCTACAGCTAGTTCTACAGTTCCAGAGTTCTACAGCTCTACAGCTCTACAGTTCTATAGTTCTACCGTTCTACAGTTCTACCGTTCTACAGTTCTACAGTTCTTCAGTTCTACAGTTCTACAGTTCTATAGTTGTATAGCTCTACAGGTCTACATTTCAATAGTTCTACAGTTCTACAGTTCTACAGTTCTACAGTTCTACAGTTCTACCGTTCTACAGTTCTACAGTTCTTCAGTTCTACAGTTCTACAGTTCTACAGTTCTATAGTTGTATAGCTCTACAGGTCTACATTTCTATAGTTCTACAGTTCTACAGTTCTACAGTTCTACAGTTCTACAGTTTTACAGTTCTACAGTTCTACAGTTCTACAGATCTACAGTTCTAAAGTGCTAAAGTTCTATAACAGTTCTGCAGTTTTACAGTTCTACAGTTCTACAGTTCTACAATTCTACAGTTCTACAGTTCTACAGTTCAACAGTTTTATAGATCTACAGTTCTACAGTTCTACAGTTCTGAAATTCTACAGTTCTTCTGTTCTGCAGTTCTACAGTTCTACAGTTCTGCAGTTCTACAGTTCTACAGTTCTACAGTTCTACTGTTCTACTGTTCTACTGTTCTACTGTTCTACTGTTATACTGTTCTACTGTTCTACAGTTCTACTGTTGGAAATGAGAAAGAACTCTAGTAAAACTTTCATAAATTGAGCGAATTACATTCATAAGAAGATATTCATATGACTGTAACAATCTATCTATCTAAACACCACCTATTAGTTCTCAAAGTAAGATATCGTAAACTATTTTTCAAAATTACACTTACACAAATCTTATCATCTATAAAATTTTCAGAAAGATGTGTTAAAGATATATTTTGGTGCTGAATCCTGAACTTATAAATGGATACAGTCTACAGATGGAGGCTTCAGGTTGACATCTTACTTACCTATATCATCAGAACTGGGAACTTTTAAATGATTGGATTAATTTAATCCTATCATTTTCTGGTGGGAAGATTAACTTAGCTCTCATTGGCTAAGAAATAGATCTTTGTTAAACTAAGGAGTAATGAGAGAACGGTTAATCTCCTTAAAAGAAATGAGTTTAAATTGTTCAGTGTCCGAATTTAATAAATTTAAGCCGCGTCTCAAATCCCCCAAAAACCGGTTTCAATTAAGCGCCGGCTTAAATCTTCAAAAAAATTGAATACAATTTTAAGTTAAACCAACCAGATTTGAGGTTAAATTTTAGCCGCGGCTCACATTCTTTAAATTCGGCCTCAGTTCATTAAAACTTCCGTCCTAGCAAAATAAAAAAAGGCAAAATTCAGGAACCATAATACAAGATAATTTAGAAAGTAAAAATTACAATAACAAAAGGAGACATTACGAAAGACAAAAGCACAAAAGTTTAAATTAGAACAACAAAAACCAAAATTATCAAAGAAACTAAATTTGTAAAAAAAATTACTCCTTTTAAATTAAAGGTAAAAAAAATTGCTTTACAGTTTTGAAAAGTTCAAGTATGGGGCCATAACAAAAATACGTGTCAGTTAGTAATGTAAAACAAAAGACCAAGGGGTTGCTACACTTCAAAGTGGATCCGGTCGAGAAAATTGATGCATAAATTCCATAGTTTCTAGAAGTCAACATTTTAAAATGTTAAACTAAAGAACCTGAATTTTAAAATGTCAAATATTGATAAAAACCTCAATTAAATAAAAAATTACAATTGTTTTTGTATTGAAAAAAAGTGCAGACACAATTCCTTTTCCTAAGGGTGACTGAAAGTTTTCAAAATTCTGAGAAATTTAGTTTTTCTTCTCTTAGATGTAAAATGCAAGCTAAAGAAGTTGTTCTGCATAAAATAAACTTCTTTCAAGATCAGAGAACAGTCTGAACTGAAAGGGACAGTTAACTTAATTTCAAAAATGAATCTATGATACTATATTTAGTGAGTGGAATGTACGATTCATACCGGTACCCTTTAAAGCTTTGTCCATTGCCAAGAATGAAATAATTATTCAAATATTCAAATGTACATTTATTTTCTGTGACCTTTAGAAATAAAATATCAATATTTCTGATAAAAAGTCCGTGACATCCTTGATCATTCCTAGATTTAAAGGGCACTACTGTGAATCGAACACTCTACATCTTGATGGTCAATCGAAACTACGCCAACAGTCCCTTTAAGGAACCATTTATCCATTAATTTAAAATAACATTCTTTTTATTGTAAACAAAAAGTAAGAATATTCCTAAAAGTAAAGTTTAGCTAAAACTAAATGCACTAATTTATTCTTTAGGAAATTTAAATCCTTCAATAAGCATCCTGAATCCTACAGGGGGGTAAGTTTTTAATCATAAATATTATTCTAATTAATGATTATAATATACCAACCACTTGATAAAAAAAATAAAGATTAAACTATAATGATAATTTCTAAAAATAATCTTTTTTGTATGTATAGGTCGATTCGAGTTGTTTCTGTAAAATTTTACATTTTATTTAAAATAAGATTTAAACAGCCTAAATCAAAATTAGGAAAATATTTTTAAAATCAAAATTTCTGTTTTTATTTGCTTGTAGCAATATTTAAAATTTGCCCAGATTTGTTTTAAAATAAATATTGAGAATAATTTTTTTTTCTTCAAATCTTGTTTAAAAATATATTTAGAAAACTTTTTTTGTACCTAAAGGTGTAAACTGGTGCGAAGCTCTTCTAAAGATTCAACGTGTACTGATATACCAGACGTACCATCCTTATCAGCATACCAGACTTTACTTAGGTATTTATACAAGACTTTACTTTTATAAATATACAAGACTTTACTTAGATAAATATACAAGACTTTACTTAGGTAAACATACCAGACTATGCTTAGGTACATATACAAGACTATAAGTAGGTAAATATACCAGACTATACGTAGGTAAATCTACCAGACTTAACTTAGGTAAATATACCAGACTATGCTTCGGTAAATATACCAGATTTTACTTAGGTAAATATACTAGACTATTCTTAGATAAATATACCAGACTATACTTAGGTAAATATACCAGACTTTACTTAGGTATATATACCAGACTATTCTTAGATAAATATACAAGACTTTACTTAGATAAATATACCAGACTATTCTTAGGTATATATACCAAACTATTTATAGATAAATATACCAGACTATATTTAGGTAAATCTACCAGACTTTGCTTAGGTAAATGTACCAGACTTTACTTGAGTAAATTTACCAGACTTTACTTAGATAAATATACAAGACTATACTTAGATAAATATACCAGACTATATTACTATTATTAATATACTTAGGTAAATGTACAAGACTATGCTTGGGCAAATGTACCAGACTTTACTTAGGTATAAATACCAGACTAAATTTAGGTAAATATACCAGACTATACTTAGGTAAATATACCAGACTATGCTTAGGATAATATACCAGACAATATTTAGGTAAAGATACCAGACTGTACTTAGGTAAATATACCAGACTATACTTAGGATAACATACCAGCCAATATTTAGGTAAAGATACCAGACTGTACTTAGGTAAATATACCACACTATACTTAGGATAATATACCAGACATTATTTAGGTAAAGATACCAGACTGTACTTAGGTAAATATACCAGACCCTACAGATAAATTTAATTCCTCTTCGATATCCCGTGATGGTCATTCCCTGCAGTGATAAATTTAAAAGTGTCCACATTGGATATCGAGATCAAGCTTTCAATATAAACGATACTCTACATAAAAGTTCCTGCATTTGGCTTTAGACTATATTTAATTTTGTTCTAATTTCAGTTCTCAATCTCAGAGTCTTCAAATAGAACACAAGATGGCTAATCTTAGAGTTTCATTTAGGTAATTTTATTTCTTGTTCTGTGTTAAACTTCCACAAGACACAAATAAACGGGAAACATTTCTCTTTTAAAGTGACTGTAAGCGTCATTTCAATGAAAAGTGTATATTTCTGTGATCTTCTATATTGTTCATTATGAGCAAGAAATGTGCATGTCGCTGTTGCATAGATAGTTCATACTTGACAAAGCTTTTAAGGGTGCCGTTGTAAATCGGGCATTGACATCTTTGCATGGAGGACCCTTAAAATTTACCTTAACAGTCCATCATCAAGGAAATTTTTTTAAAGAAAAATCTCATCTAATATTCTTAGCATTACCAGATAAAACATAATAAAACTTATTGTAAGAACAATTTTATATTCTACTAGCTAGGGAACCCAGCACTGCTCAGGTTACTATAAGTTTATCCCGCCGTTTACCCGCACTTAAACAATTTACCGGGAAACTGAATTTTCGCTATTAAATCTCAAAACCAAGCTAAGAACGTCCAGTGGGTTTCCCGAGTTCCCCATCAAAATTTGAGGCAAATCGGATCAGGGGTTCCTGAGTTATGATCGGACAAACAAACAGACAGACAAACAGAGATCACAACTTTATATATATAGATTAACCTACCTTCGTAGTTCCTATATCTAACTTTAACTTTCTATACCTTCCTACCTATCTCTCTCACTCTTAAAAATACCTACCTATTAGAACTATTAGAAAAGGAATCTGAAAAAGAGGTCCCGTTATGAACCCCCCAGACCTAGCTACCATATACATACCTACCTACCTACCTATTTACCTACCTAACTTCCAACCTACTTATCTACCTATACCTACCTCCCTTCCTTCCTACCTGCTTATCTATCTACCTACCTAACTACTTATCTACCTACCTACTTACCTACCTACCTACCTACCTACCTAACTACTAACTTACCTACCTACCTACCTACCTACCTACCTACCTACCTACCTACCTACCTAACTACTAACTTACCTACCTACCTACCTTCCTACCTACCTACTGCCTAACTACCTCATTCATACCTATCTAACTACCAACCTACCTACCTATACATTCCTATATCCTACATTTTTTTCTACCTACCTACCTCCCCATCTACCTCTCTACGTACCTATACATCTACCTTCCCATATCTGTTACCTATCTACCTACCTAGATCTGGTCTACCTATATCTCGAGGTCCCTCCCCCTCCCCCTGTTTATCTGACCGGCTCTGTGTTCCCTCTGCCACATCAAGAGCGAGCTCACCAGCAGCTAAGTCGGGTAAACACAAATACACAAACATAAAAATCAAGATCAGTCCCTTTAAACTCGCAAGAATTATTAAATATTTCTGCATTTTTTTTTTTGCAAATATAACAATAATGATAACAATAATGATAACAATAATGATAACAATAATGATAACAATAATGATAACAATAATGATAACAATAATGATAACAATAATAATGATAACAATAATAATGATATCAATAATAATAATAATTATAATTATAATTTTAATAATAATAATATTAATAATAATGATAATAGATAGTAATTGATAATAATCGATAATTATTAGATAGTTATTTGATAATTGTTTAATAATATTTTAGTGAAAGATATCTGGTTGGATGATGAGAATGATTTAATCAGATCTTGTGGCAAGCTTTCTAGAGCTCTAGGTAGGAGGAGGGGTGAGGGACGTAGAAGGAGGGAAAGAGATGGGGGGGGGGGAAGCGGAAACATTAAAATTAAAATATAATATTGAATATTATTTTTTTTAATAATATACTATATATTCAAGAGTGAAAATGTCGAATCATACATTAGCAAATTGGAAGCAGCATATATAAAAGAAAAAATAACTCATTCAGTAATTAACGATTTAAAAAAGCACAGGTCATTAGGGAAGTTCGATGTTTATATGTTTTCACAACATGTTTCAGAAGATGCGTCTTGAAATGCTGAATACTCAAAATTTTTCAGTTTTAAAATATTTAAAATATGTTTGATTTAAGGCTACAAACTGGTTTAAAAATTGATGAAAAAAAAAAAATCTGGTGGTGCAAGCAAAGGGGATCTTTAGGAATTTTATCAAAAAAGAGCCAAAAAGTTTCACCTTTAATATAATGTTTAACAGATATATACATATATGCAAAAAATATTATCAAAATGTATATAATTTTTAACATATATATACATATTTACAAATAATGTGTATAATATAAAATAAAGGCATGTTTATGTGAAGTGAATTTTGTCTGTTTTTAAAACTGCATTTTATGTTTTATATTTTTAGCGGTACACTTAAAAAAAAATAAAAAAAATGTTAAAACTCTTGCTATAGTAGTTAAGTTTGGATTTTTAAAATAACGATTTTTTTAAAATGTATTTAAGTGTATATGCTCAAGAAAGAAGTAAGGAAAATGATGAAAGATGGAGTGGAAAGGAGGGGGGGGGGAAATGATGAAATGGAAAGGAGGAGGGGGTGGGGTATTTTATTAAGTGAAAGAAGTGTAAGGTATGTATTATTTTAAAAGGAACCCCAGTTTGAACAGTTCTGGAGTAAATATTCATTTGATTGATTAATTAAGATAACCTTTTTGTTAAAATTTATAGGAGGCAATATTAATTGTAATAAAAACTGTTGTGTTATTTTATGATATTTTTATGATATTGCTTATTTTTCAGGGGATTTGTTGGAAGGATTTCCTTTGAGATTAAGATAAACCGTCCCCCTGACCCCCCCCCCCTATTGAAAAAGTTCTAATTGTTATTTTCCAAGGATTGGAGAAGAGTTTTAGTACAAGTGATATATTAACCTCTCCAGATAATCAAGGTAAATTTTTGAAGCGAGTTTAAATGTCGTCTTTTTAGAATTTCAATAACAAAAAGCACACACTTAATATTTGCCGTGCACAGCAGCACAGCAAGAAATGTTTAAAGTTAGAGTAATTATGTAAACATTTATGAATCAAATCATATCACTAACTAAACCAATACACGTTAGAGATAAATTGTAATATTCATTCTTTTACAAAATTTACAACGAACAATTTATTTTTAGCATGCCTTAGCAATTCCAGGTTAGTAGTTTTAATATACTAGTATTTCAGGGCGCTTCGCGCCCCCTTTTCTGTAAATAATTTAAATTTTAACTGTTGTTCCACGATTGGGAAAAATTTTTAATTCTCATATTTTTACGGCTTTTTCCATTTAAATATTTATGGCTATTTTTATGGTCCTTAAACCTTCCCTGGGGTCATATGAAGTTTGGACGTTTATTGGATACAAACAAACAAACAGACACCCAGACAAGCAAGTTGTAGTTTTTCATATGTATACGTTTATTTGTTTCTTTTTCAGATCTAATAATCTTTTAACAGATATTTAAGTTTGAACTTAATTCTCTTAACATCTAAACTTTGGCCGACCTAGATCTAGATCTAGACCTATGCCTAACCTATACCTAGATCTAGACCTAGACCTAGACCTAGACCTAGGTCTAGACCTAGACCTAGGCCTAGACCTAGACCTAGATCTAGACCTAGACCTAGACCTAGACCTAGACCTAGACCTAGATCTAGACCTAGACCTAGATCTAGACCTAGACCTAGATCTAGACCTATACCTAAACCTAGATCTTAACCTAGACCTATGCCTAGATCTAGACCTAGATCTAGACCTAGACCTAGATCTAGACCTAGACCTAGACCTAGACCTAGACCTAGACCTAGACCTAGACCTAGATCTAGACCTAGACCTAGATCTAGACCTATACCTAAACCTAGATCTAAACCTAGACCTATGCCTAGATCTAGACCTATGCCTAAGCTAAAAATTCTGTTGTCTTTAGGTCTGAATCGTTCCTATTAGATGCTGTAAACCTGCATTGGGGAAAACTGGAACCTAACTCAAGGTATGTTAATTGATGATTGACTTATTGATAAATTTACATATTGATTTATTGATTTATTGATCTATTTTTGATTGATTGGTTTATTGATTGATTTATTGATTGATTTATTGATTATTGATTTTCAGATTTATTTGTTTATTGATTTATTGATTTATTGATTTATTGATTTATTGATTCATTGATTTATTGATTTATTGATTAATGATTTATTGATTAATTGATTTATTGATTTGTAAATTTATTGATTTATTGATTGATTTTTTGATAAATTGATTTATTGATTGATTAGGTCCTTGTCAACCTGGGTAGCTGTTGGAGATGTTCAATCTTCCACCTCACAGCTTCCATCTCCACAGGTCGAACTTAAGGTAAAGGATATTTTTCCTTCATCCCTCGTTTAAATATTTGCCCTTCCTCTCCCTTTTTTAATTATTTGACCTACCTTCCTTGTTCGAATAATTACCCTCCCACCCTCGTTGGAACAATTACCCTTCCTCCCTCGTTTGAACAGTTGCCCTCCATCCCTTGTTCAAATTGTTGCCCTCCCATCCTCGTTCTTGTATTTGACCTCCCTCCCTCGTTTGAATAGTTAAGCCCTCCATCCTTCGTTCGAATATTCTACCTCCCTCCCTTGTTTGGATATTTGCCCTTCTTCCCTCTCTCAGATATTTGCCCTCTCTCCCTTAAAAATGACCTATTTGTCCTTTTCCCTTCATTTATAGCATGATTGCCTGCCCTAACTCCCCCAGATATAATTTTATTCCTCATTTGGATATTAATATCTACCCTTTCTCTGGTTTTATAATATCCTAGGGGTTTGCTGATTGTATGTCAGGTGCCCAGTTTACTGCAGCAGATTTTGTAAGATCTATGAACAAATCTGTCCGACAAAACTATATCAAGAAAAGACTTAAGGTAAAGACGACATTCTAGAACTTTTCTGTTTTGATTCACTCTTTCCATGCTCCTTTCTCCTAACTTTTGATTTTATGAGTGTTGAAATAAGGAGAAAAAACTGATATCTAAACCAGGTTCAGCTAAGCAACGTATTGGGGTGTCTGTAAAATTAAATCCTTTCACATCACTATTTTAAAGAAAACAAATCTGTTTTAAAGTGACTGTATAAGTGTAATTTCAAATGACCCTCCATGCAAAGATGGCAATGTCGGATTCACAACGGTCCTCTTAAAAGCTATGTTTGATCAAGTATGAATTTGATATCCATATTTATAATTTTCAATTGCGGGTTTTCTACAAAATTGTCTTGCGCAATTTTAAACCAAGAAAAATGACTTGATGTTTCCACAATGTGAATCGAGTTTTGACCTCTTTGCAAGTTACGCTAACAGTCCCTTTAAAGGGAGTGACAGCAGTTCAACTACCTTCCATAGTCGTTTACTCCCTTTAAACAATATTTTTCAGGTAACATATAAAGCTCTGGAGCAACTGTCTGAATCTGAGTTCGATCTGGAAAAATTTCTTGAGAAATCTGTTCAACAAAAAACCACAGGAAATCAGACTGTTAAACTTAAGTATGATCCCTTTGATTTAATATATTTGATATATAGTCATTTGTTTCATTGCAGACTTTCTTATTTCAGGTCTTTAATAAAATCTACGAAATATCTTTTAAAATAAAAATAAAAGCTTTGACAGTATTATTATTAAATGTGACTTTTTTTTAGCTAAAGCTTTATAAGTAAAACGCAAAATTGTAAATTATCGATAAACTTTAAAGTCTAAAATCTAATTAAATCAATCAGAGTATTAGATCATAATTTTTTTATTATCTATTTAGAAGCACAAACAGAAAAGCCAACAAGGATGCTGTGGCAAAAGTTCTTGTTACAGTGCACTCAGATCTAGGTATATTAAGTGTATGGTTCTAGTTTAATAAGTTTTTAATTTTGTTGTCATGGTTTATCATTTAAATCATTTTATCATTTATCTTGAAAAGTTCATGATTTTTCCCCAGAATTGACAAATAATCTGGTAATTTTAATAATTAGTTTAAAATTCTACCTGTAGGATTATCTGCTTATTCTGTTTTAATTAGTTCCAAATTCTGTCACCAGAATGCATATGGTCAGATAAGAGTGTAGTAGTTAGTTCAACAATTTGCCACCAGGATTATCAAATAAGAGTGTAGTAGTTAGTTCAACAATTTGCCACCAGGATTGTCAGATAAGAGTGTAGTAGTTAGTTCAACAATTTGCCACCAGGATTGTCAGATAAGAGTGTAGTAGTTAGTTCAACAGTTTGCCACCAGGATTATCAAATAAGAGTGTAGTAGTTAGTTCATCAGTTTGCCACCAGGATTATCAAATAAAATGGCATAACTTAGTTCATACTTTTGCCGTTTTCAAATCATTTTGCATTATTTAGTTCATAATTCTGCCATCAGAATATGGTCAAATAAGATGGTATTAGTTTGTTTAAAAATGTTGGTGCCATAATTGTCAAATAAGATGGTATGTTTATACTTCGCTGCTAGAATTGTCAAACAAGTTTTAGAATTAATTAGCTTAATTAGGCCGCTATGATTGTTAAATAAATTTTTTAATTAACTAGTTTATTACTTCCCCGTTAGGACTGTCAAACAAGTTACAGAATTAGTTAGTTTATAACTCCGCTGCTAGGATTATAAAACAGTTAAACAATAATTAGTTAAAAATTTGACCGCTAGAATTGTCAAAACAGTTAAACATTAATAAGTTAGAAATTTGACCGCTAGGATTGTAAAAACAGTTGAACAATAATTAGTTCAAATTTGACCGCTAGGATTGTAAAAACATCCTAACAATAATTAGTTAAAAATTTGACCGCCAGGATTGTCAAAACAGTTAAACAATAATTAGTTAAAAATTTGACCGCTAGGATTGTAAAAACAGTTAAACAATAATTAGTTAAAAATTTGACTGCTAGGATTGTCAAAACAGTTAAACAATAATTAGTTAAAAATTTGACCACTAGGATTGTAAAAACAGTTAAACAATAATTAGTTAAAAATTTGACTGCTAGGATTGTCAAAACATCCTAACAATAATTAGTTAATAATTTGACCGCTAGGATTGTAAAAACAGTTTAACAATAATTAGTTAAAAATTTGACCGCTAGGATTGTCAAAACATCCTAACAATAATTAGTTAAAATTTTACCACTAGAATTGTAAAAACAGTTAAACATTAATTAGTTAAAAATTTGACCGCTAGGATTGTCAAAACAGTTAAACATTAATTAGTTAAAAATTTGACCGCTAGGATTGTCTGAGAAAAGAAAGGAAGATATTGTTTCTACAAAGGAGATTGAACGAGACAGGGGGAAACCAATCAGGTAAATATTCAGGGTTAAATAAAAGAAAGAGAATTTAAAATGATTTTTTTTTCATAAATTCTACCGACTAGAAGTCTTATTTTGCTCTTGTAAATTGTCCTTATTGGCAAAAAAGGTTTCCACTATCGCACATAAAAAACTTGGGGTTGAAAATACATTTCGATATATTTTTATATCCTCATCAGTCCTACAGAAAATGACTAAAATTATTACTTAGTTACATAAAATATTATAACAATAAAAAGACAATAAAAAGAAACAGTTATTTTTAAAAACAGTAAAAACCTAGGACAAAAACAGCGAAAAATAAAATTAAAAAACTTTAAAAAATTGAATTGTAGGAATTTTTTTCAACCATAAAGAATGGTGGTGTAAATAAAACTAAATGAAATGTATATTGAATGCGGGGGGAGGGAGGTTGTAAGTAGGTTGCGTTGACCACTAGGGTACAAAAATACAAAATTTTGGGATTTTGCTCTTGTTTGATTTAAATACAAGTATTTTTAGTAAATACGAGAGAAACATCATGATATTTGATTGGTTGCATACTCTGGACGAATCAGGTAAGACATGCGTAGAAAACGGGAATAGTTTAAATGTCATCTTCGGTCTCCAAGTGGAAATAAATTAGAACAGTATTGATAGTAGCAATTGTTTAAAGGGAGTGTTCGTGAAAAATTAAAGGTGTTAAAGGATAATAATATAAAGATGGAACAACTAGGACGAAATGCTCAGCGTTGCCTGTGTTATTATTTTTTCTTTTGCTTTTATTTAAAATTTTAATTTATAATTTTTTATTTTTTTCAGCAACCTTTGAAGTGGCCTAGCCTAGCTGGATGAAAAAGCTTCTGTGAAAGTAATAAGCCAATTCCTCGCGCTGAAACTTGATAATAGATGCATATACCCATTAAAGGAAATCTTGACTGTTTTGTAATTACGCTTTATAAAAATGCAGAAAGTATTACTGTTAAAAATTAATTTATCTAAAAAATTAAATGTTAAATATTTTAATGTCATTCATATTAATGGTGTGTTGATATCCAAATTCCAATACAGATGCAAGAAAATGGATTTATGTACAGTCTTCGTCGTGTATATCAATACAATGAAGACGACTTTCGATTTTAATTTTTTATTTTCACTAAGCTTTGTTAGAAGTCAAAACTTTAATAAATTGGTGTTAACTTCGACTACTGTATAAAACATTCATCTTTATTCTTCTCTTTCTTTTTCCTTTTTTCCATCCTTTGCTGTTCATTTCATCTTTATTCCTCTCTTTCTTTTTCCTTTTTTTCCATCCTTTGCTGTTCATTTCATCTTTATTCCTCTCTTTCTTTTTCCTTTTTTCCATCCTTTGCTCTTTATTTCATCTTTATTCCTCTCTTTCTTTTTCCTTTTTTTCCATCCTTTGCTGTTCATTTCATCTTTATTCCTCTCGTTCTATCTTAGTTTTTCCATCTTTAGTCTTCTTTTTTCTCCGACTCCTTTTTTATTTAACTTCTTTTTTCTTTTAATCCTCTTTTCCATTCTTCTTCTATTCTAAAGAAGACAGTTGAATCTTAAACGTATGAGAAAAATTTGTTAGTCATTTTATTACTTTTTATAAATCATTAATGAATTATTCGAAAGATTTTTAAAAGTTTATTCTTATTTTTGTGTTTTAAAAATGATTTCTTCAATAGTTAAAAATTCTAATTTTTGTTGACAATCAATATTGAATTCCGCAAATCATTTAAAATTGCAGAAGACTCGGTTTGGAAAATGTCGCCATTATAACGATTTATAACATTGATATTTTGGTTCGCAGTGTTATAAAGATTTTGGACAGAAATTTTCTCTTTATCGAGAAGGTTCACGCCTTTTTAGATTTAATTTTGTCCCGAGCTTTAGCGAGAACCTTTGCGCTATAGAGACAATTTAAGCCCAAAAACTTTATAGCACGTCGTGCCAAAATAATAGTGTTATAGGTATTTTTATGAAACGTTTGTGTACTTTTCTTATTTCAATGGCTTTTTCTAGATCAAATAAGTTTTGAAACAAAGCAAACGTTAAAATATAAAATTGATTTCAATTTAATTTTCATTTCAATTAAACAAAATATTTTGGAAATGTCCTATTTGTTTTGGAGAAAATCCGGGAACCAATCAAAACTTTATAGCACACGTGCTATAATGTACAGCTAATTTAACTTTAAGTACACAATAGTTTCATAAAAAAAATCAACGGCTGCCATTTTTCAATATTAAATTTAGTTTTTTTTGATACTTTTGTGTATGTAAACTGTTTATATTTGTTGAACTGTGATTAATAAATGATTAATTCAAATCCTTATTTTTAATTTTCAAGTGATCTTTTGATTCCCAATGCTACTCATTAATACCTTTATCTGATCAACAAAATGATGTTTTAAGTTTGAAAACAAAATTAGCTTTTTGAAGAAACCACAATTAAAAATTAACAATCAGCAAGAACAACATGACAACTCATTGATTCTTAAGAAAGTGGCATGTTCAAGACCTTGATTAACTTTCTTAGTAGAGAGTCACTCTTGAAATTGCGTCTGCAGTTCCTTTAAGTCTTGAAAGGAAGATGACAGACTTTATGGTTTTCTCTTTCTTTTCTATTTCTCTTTCTAACGATTTCTCTACTCAAAATTTGAGGCAAATCGGTCTAGGGGTTCTTGAGTTATGATCGGACATCCAAAAAATAGAGAATTTAGAAAAGAGGATATATCAATCCGTACAGGTCTGACCAAGATGGAGATCTATGTTTGATCCTGAGATACGACCAGGGGGGATCATAGTTTCCTTATACCTGTGTGCTCAGTTAGCTGTACTGTACACTTACAATGAAACCTCTAATAACGAATACATCGGAAGAATTTATCAAATGTCGTCTTGACAATTTTTCAATGATTTTTATACTATATTTCTTAAATTTCTGTATTTGCGAAAATAAATAAATAGCCATGAATATGCGGGAACAGTTTTAAAGAGTTCCATATAATCATTTAATTAAAAAACTAAATATCTGCAACATTCCATTATCAGAAAGTGAAGAATACGACATTTGATGAATTCTTTCGATGTATTCGTTATTAAGGGTTTTACTGTACAACTGTTTTCTAATATTGATATACTAAAGGTCAGACCAGAATTAACTTAAAATAAACAAATATGCAGTACGCTCTCGGTATAGTTGAAGGATTAGCGTACATCATCAGTCTATACACTATAACCTCGTTGGATACACATCAAAAAAGCACTGTTTTCTAAACATTTTTAGAAATATTTTACACTCTAAACTAGGATGTCGATGTGCACTACAGTCTGCAGTGTGGTAAATGTAAATAATCACGAAAAAAACATTTATTTATATCTTATTCATTTTTCCACATCTATATTTCTCTTAATGTTAAACTAAAGAAATCATATATTATAGATTAAATGTTAAAATGAAACTATTTGACATAACACACAATATTTCTATTAACATTATTCCAATATTCGAAAAAAGATAATCAAGCAGAATTGAACACAGATATTAAACAATGTTGAAAAATTCAATCATGAAATTAGAAATATCATAACCAGTTCGACCTACTGAGTTTCCTTGACGTTTTACGTTTGAATTTGATCAAATTGGCTAATGGCTCTTTTAGATGTACAGAACAAAAGTTTAGCGTCAAATTATTTTGTTCTAATTTTGAATTTGTTGATAAAATCTAATGCTAACTGTTAGAAATGGCTAATCATAAACGTATACTTTCTGAGGACTAACATCTACATCTGTTGACTAGTGATCAGAAAGAATAAAAAAACAAAATAAACAAAACTCTTGACAGATTTAATTTTCTAAATTTTATAATTTGTTTGTTCACAAGGTTGCTTTGATTGAAGAATATTAGTGCTGTTTGCTTTTTTTTCGTTTATAATTTTCAGTTTAAAGAAAAAAAGTTTAATTCCCGGGATCCTCCTCTCTGTAAAACGACCCGTTTGCGTAGGCTAGCGCGCCTCCAGGTTTGTTGGGCTGAGCGCTCTGACCGGCGGGTTCACGCTCTTGTCTAGCCGGGGAGGTGAGCGTGTAGGATTGTCCTGTCTGAGCAACTATCTGATCTCGTAGCCTTAACAAACATAACGTGATTTTATTATGGGCACTGTATACAACATATTACTATAAATAAAGAACTAAAAAGTGATGACATGCTAATTTTAAAACAAATAACAGTTATCGACTGTACAGTGTACACACAAGTTTTACTCTTTTATTTCATACTAGATAAAGTTCCCGGCGTTGCCCGCGGAATTTTAGAAACACTTGAAATCATAATTTTAAATTTTTTAGCCAATTCGGTTCAGTCATTTTTCCAGCTATAGCTTACATATACAAACATATTGTTTAGCTTTGATATATTTATAAAAGACGACATTACTGTTTGTCTGTCTAACAATACAAAGCAGGTAGTTTCGATTTAACCTCCGCACCTTTCACAGGTGTGGAGATGGTTTCCAAGATGAATTTATCAATATAAAAGGTAATAGTTTGTAAACCTTAAATAACCTTTAGATTGTATGCATAAATATATGCATATTTATCAAGTTACATAACTTAACTATTTTGTATATTTCAGTTATGTGCTTTAGACGAGTGTGTAAATTGTGTAAATGAGAAGATTGAAAATAAACACCTTTAAAGAAAACTTTCTCATTATATTCACAAGTCTACCCATCGACAAAACTTGTTGTCTGGGTCTTATTGAAAGGAAACCTGAACTGATTCCTCTGAATACACATATATATATGAACGAAGAGATTTATTATATAGATTTTCGTTAAATTATAGAAAAATCCATTTAAGGTCTTTTCTAGCATTATTTAAAGGCTATGAAAAGAATAAGTGCAGTTTGGTAGGTTAAACCAAGAGAAACAGCCTGGCAACGCTTTAAAGTCGACCCGGACTTAACTGTTGAGGTCTAATTTTCATAAATGTTTGCATCGCTATGAGTCATTCGTCTATAGAGGAATTGATTAACAAACTCAGATGTTTTTAATCCCTAGCGCTAAGATATTTCAAACTATAGGAAGTCGTGAGATCAAATAATCTAAGTTTGAAATATCTAAGGTTTACACCATCAGATTACAAAGATATAGGGATTAGCAAGTTTGAGCTTGTGGCAAAGACTCATTTTCGTTTGCTTTTTATGTATCCAATGACTGTGTGAAAACGGCTCAACTGTATAATTCCAACTTATTTACGGCTAGCCACATGATTCAAACAAAAAAATACCGAAACAAATTTTTATCTTTTTTATTTTAGAAATCTATCAATGTTTACAGAAAAATTCGCAAAAATTACGTAGAAAAAATGGCTGCCAGAATTGCAACATTCAAAAGTGTCAATTGTTTGTAGAATATTGATTCTTACCTTTTTACCAGATAGGATAGAAAAGCCATTGATATAACCAGGAGTAGGATTAGTCCAAGGAATACTCCAATGATGATATAAATCTGGGTTTGTAGCTCTGTACCTTCAACCTGGGGGATAAAGGGATTTTCAACCTAATTCGAATTGGTCCTCCATGTTTTGTATAAGATATTAACGAAGTTTTCGTCATAATTTTACAAAGAAACTGAATTTTTGCCACAAACTCAAATTTACTAAGCCCTATATCTGTACATCATCATGGTGTACGCCTTTGATATTTTTAACTACGGTTTCGGGTTTTAAACTTAAAAAGTAAGAGTTTTTTTTTACAAAAAACTTATTTCCTTTTTAAAAAATACTGAACTGTATTAATAAATACTAAAAACTGTTGATAGCATAATTTAATTCTTTTTACTTTTAATCACTCGAAACTTATTGATATTGCCTTTAATGTTGAATAATTTAAAATATAACAATCGATTTATCTGGCCTTCTCCTGACATTTATTTATCAAAGCAGGCAAACTGACATTATTCAAATATTTAATCCGGTTTTTTTTCTTTAGAACCTCAACCTCAACCTCAACCTCAACCTCAACCTCAACCCAAAGCACTACATTTTTACCTGTGCTAAATTCTGATCAATTTTCTCTGCAGACCCATTCCAAAAATCCTACAGATAAATATGCATAATATTGACATTTTATAAAAATCGTTTTTTTCTTTTTATAGGGGGAATAGGGGGTTTAAAATGAACATACCTTTAATAGTTCTGATATGTTATTTACTTTATCTGTATAGTTCTGGAGTTCTGGTATCTCACTAACTACATTTATACAGTTCAAAACATCTTTTACACAAGGAAAAGGTCAAATTTATGCGACAATACTAGTATGACTTTGGGACCTCGTTAAATTTATGCAGAAGTATGAGAAATTGTCCGGCTACAAATTAGAAATTGAAAACATTTCAAATCATCTTAAAAGCTCTTAAGAGGAGACAAGATTGAATACATAAAATATTGTAATCTTACATGCAACTCACTTTAGTCTAAGGTGTGATGAAGAGAATTAATTAGAGACAAAGAGAAAAAGAGTGATAGGTTGAGATACGGAAAGACGGGGAGATGGAGAAAAGCAGAGACGGAGATACAGAGAGACCGAGAGATGGAGAAATGGAGAGATGGAGAAATGGAGAGATGAAAAGATGGAGAGACGGAGTGACGGAGAGATGGAGAGACGGAGAGATGAAAAGATGGAGAGATGAAAAGATGGAGAGACGGGAGACAGCGAGACAGAGAGACAGAGAGACGGAGAGACAGAGAGACAGAGAGACAGAGAGACATAGATACAGAGAGACAGAGAGACAGAGAGACAGAGAGACAGAGAGACAGAGAGACAGAGAGACGGAGAGACAGAAAAGACGGAGAGACAGAGAGGCAGAGAGACAGAGAGATATAAAAAAGAGGTTGCGTGAAGTATCAAACAGTATTTTGAAGAGAGGTTTGGTGATTTTAAACTTGTATTTCTTGAGAGGTTGCGCGTTTTTTTCACTTGAATTTATATTTCTCAAAACTATTAAATTATGTAATTCTAAAAATAGATTTCAGTTAAAGCTGCAGCAATAAATATCCTTTCCTGTCTATCTACAAAATATTAAACATTAAAAATGATATCTGGTGTTTGTGTTCTTAGAATTATCATTTCTAATCTCTGATCATAACAGAGCTTTGACGTAAATTCAATTGAGCCTTCATTTGGGATTTAATAACTGATTAACAATAGTGCCCTCTAAGCATTTGGTGGTGTATTTTTTGACCTACGCAAATCCGCTATACTCCACTTCTGACCTACGCCAAATCCGCTATACTACACATCCGACCTACTAGCACGTGGTTTTGCAGCTGCTATATGAATTTTTGGCCGCAGCTCCCGGCCCACTAGCCGTGGCGCTCGGCCCCCTAGCCTGTCCTACCCGCTGCGCTCGGCCCAGAAATTGTCTTAACCTAACCTAAGCCTCAAATAATACAAAAATAAGCAGCTGGCGTAGGTCCGATATTGCAGAAGCCGGAAAGTTAGTAGATCAGAAGTTCAGTATGGGCGGGGGATGTTGCGTATAGACGATGTAACATTACCAAGCATCTTTCTTTAAGCCAAGATGACGGAAATTCTTTGTTTTTCTAATCAAGAAAGGGTTGATTGCAATCGCGGTTTCTCAACATGTGATTTATGTATCATAAAATAAAAAGATAAAAAATAACAAATTAATCTCTAATCAAGATGAAAAAAACGACGATATCTTCCACATTGCTACTCAATTAAAGTAAAGTAACTTTATGAATCTAACTTTTTTATTAAGTTGTCATTTGAAATGACGTCGAGAGTCCCTTTAAATACTTTTTTAAGGACTGCTGTTATTTTCTCCATGTTTTCTGAAGCAAGAAATGCGCAAAACAAAGCTTTTAAGTTTACTGTTGTCAATCGGACATTCCACTCTATTAAGTGAGGATTACTTAAAATTACGCTTACTCCCCCTTTAATAGTTTTAAAGGAACAACCAACGAAATTGTGATCCCTCTATCCAAAGAGTCATGTTTACAACTTTATCTTTAAAATCTTTAAGCAATCGATGGTGGCCACATGTTAGTTTCTCTACTTTAATAAATAATTAATGTACAGTGATGTTACCACGCACCCCTGACCCTTCAGTAAAAGTAAATTTAAGTCTGACCGCGTCAACCTTGTTGCACCGGCTAGTCCTAATCAGTGTCTGCTTTATTTACCCAATGTCCGGACGATACAGTACAAACTGGGACCTGAAAGGTTGACCCGGCTCGGAAATTCAAATGTTATACGGCTGCCCGTGTTACCTAAATGTGACCTGCGGATTTCCACATCAAAGATATGCAATGAAAAAACTCAAATATATCTTTTCTCAATCCAAAGAATTCACCGTTAATCATTTCAAAAGATAAAGGTTTTAGAATACCATTGTCTTGTTATAGCATTTGTAATATCGCGCAGAAAGTTAGGAATATTAAAATTTGTATTATATATCCCTAATATTTGGGTCTTTACATCGAACAAAACGATTTCTCCTAAGAGTTGAGGGTCAATATGTTTAAATTTTTGCGCAAAAATTTAAGCACTTCTTATTCATAATTTTGTTTTGAAATTATGTTTTGTTGCATTTTTTTATTTTTACTGTTAAAAATAGCATAATCTCATTAAGCTGCATGTTTTTTGATGTTTTATAAAAAAAAAATTTATTAGTGGAAATTGTTTTTTGTTTGTTTATTTTTCATTCATTTTGAAAGTACACAAACAAGAACTGATAAGAGAAACGTACTTAGTGAACATGCGATCAGAACTAACCTTCAAAATCAACTTAAACGGTTATTTTGAAAACAATTTGTAAAAAGGTTAAATAAAAATTTTTCTTTCAATATTTTTTTTTTCCGAAAACAAAAAAAAATTATTTTTAGTATAAAGGCTTAATTTAAAATTTCACCAATGCGTCAAAAATTACTTCAATGCTGACTGAACTTTTATTTTTATAATTCGCACAGTTTTCGAACAAATATCTGTTTCATACTTTATTTTGTGAGGTACAATAATTCCCGATTTCCAATCATAAACATTTAAAGTTTTATCAATTTTACCAAACACTCCTTCGCTCCCTAATGTTATCCTTTAAATTAATAAGCAGGCTTTTATTTCATTACACTCGTACTGTGAGTTTTCTTATCTTAAACTCTTTCATGCTTTAGTAATGTGATAACAACTCGTATAATGTGGCATACATCAGAGGACCAATAGTAAACTTTAAATATCAAAGGTCGCATTCAACTTTGATACTTTAAACGCTTTAGAGAGTTTGTGTGTACATTAAAAAATAGTAATTGTTTGATTTTTTACTCCTGAAAAAAAGAGAGAGAAGCTGCCAATTGAAAGCTTTTCTTTGTTTTCTTGTTTTGTATCATATACTGTTTGAAAGCTTGGTAAAAATCAAAATTTAACTCGAAAGTCGTCTTTATCGTATTAATATATACGACTGTATATCTACTTGTCTTAACTTTGTACAGTTTAAAACATCTGAACCGATTAGGGCCCATTTTCCTAAAGGTTGTAGATATGATTAAAACAGAAAAAAGTGCAAGACATTTTTTTCCATATTTCGAAATTTCAAATATCTTCCAAGTCCATGCATTTTTATGATTATTGTTATACTTACAAGGCAGTAACCTTTTCGCATAAAAATGTGTACTATAGACTTTGTTGTAATACCACGTCGAGTTATCATGGCTTAAGAGTGTAATATGTACTTATTATACATGATATTAATCCTAGATAAAAGTACACTAGATTTTACAGGATAGAAACCCATGCTAATTTTATATAATTTCATGTTTAGACAATGGACAATCATTGAATAAACACCTTTCCATTCAGAGTTTTATATAATTATTTTTATAACCTGGATCGTATTGGAAATAATAAATTCGAAATGTTGACTTGTTATGTTAAAAATGTATCAACTTTAATTGTCAACACAGCTGGTAAATATTTGTATATTTTAAGTTTATATTTGTTTATTTGAGAAAATTTTTTTTTACGACTTATAACCACAGATGTGAAGTTTAACACCTGAGCAGTGCTTTAGAAAAGTTGCAAGTTGCTGATTTTAAAAACATAAAGTAGACAAATTATTTTAGGCTTTTTTACAGTTTTGGTTGTCTCCTACAGGGTGTCCCACGAAACATGACAGTTGGTAAATTTTTTTATTGTCATCCTCCATACACTGTATTAGATATTAAAGGCTATTTGCAGTCTATTTCGTTTAAAATATTTTTTGCTCAAATATATTTTACTTTGAAATTAATTTTACTATAATATGACTCCTATAATAATATTTTTATTATTGTCTTTGGTATTAAACAACTTGACAAATTATGGAAGAAGACATTCTAAATTATTTACCAACTGTCATGTTTCGTGGGACACCCTGTAGGTCCCTCGTAATTATGTGATGTTAAGAAACAATCTCTTTAAAACTATGAGCAAGCTTGAATCAGAACCTTACCTTAATCTGATCATGTGGAAGATAACTTTTGGTCGTCAGTTTGTATCCAATAAACGTCAGTTTGTATCCAATAAACGTCAAAACGGCTTAACCGATCGGGCCCTAATTTTGTGTGGGACTTCACATGACCCCGGCAAAGGTTTATGGAACATGAAATTTTCAGAAATACTGGAAAATAGTTGGAATTTAATTGTTTAAAAATGCGCCAATCAGAATTGAAAAATCCGCCAAAATTTGAAAATGACGGAGCAACCGTGAAAATCCTAGTATTCTTATATTTACTCAAGTGTTTAGTTTTCATTGCGGTTAGTGAAGGTCCATAGGTCCAAAAAAACGTTGTTTATTTCAGTTTTTATATCATATAGAATAAACATCAATTGAAGGACCAATGGAAATAAACAACATGTGTTACACGGGCAGCCGTAGTACATTTGAATTTCCTAGCCAGGTCAACCACCGGTCCCAGTTTGTACTGTACCGCACAGACACTGGCTTAATAAAGCAGACAGCCAACAGGACTAGCCGGTGCAACAAGGTTGACGCGGTCTGACTTTATGCTTCATATATGTTGAATTTACTTTTACTAAAGGGGCAGAGATGCGTGGTTACAAACATAAACATAATAAACATATAAAAGGTAGCATCTCTTAAATCTCAACATGAATTTAAAAGTCAACTATTCATGCCGCGTCAACATTTTTAGAACAACACTCGCCCATATTCCTAAAACTTTCATTTTTAGCTAACAGTTCCGTTAAGTAGAAATAATTTCTAGATACACTTCTCCTCACACAATAAAAATACTTTTATTTGTTCGTACTTTTGTAAATAAAATTACAGGGTGTCTCTAAAAAAAATTACTGTAACCTTGTTTTAAATTTTTTTTATAGATTTTTAAGCAAATGAACAAAAACCATTCATTTTCAAAATAAGACACCCGGGATCAGTTTAGATCGTAAAATAGAATTGTACTTAAAACAAAGCGTACAGTCTCTTTAAATAGAAGTTCACTTAAAACTAAGCGTACAGTCTCTTTAAATAGCAGTTCACTTAAAACTAAGCGTACAGTCTCTTTAAATAGAATTTTACTTAAAACTAAGCGTACAGTCTCTTTAAATAGCAGTTCACTTAAAACTAAGCGTACAGTCTCTTTAAATAGAAGTTCACTTAAAACTAAGCGTACAGTCTCTTTAAATAGAATTTTACTTAAAACTAAGCGTACATTCTATTTAAAAAAAACTTAACTATGCGTTTTGAAGACACCCTGTATAGTATTGTATTCTATTGTATTGTACGTGTATATGATTGAGTTTATGGTAGTTTAAACTATACCAACAGTTGTATAAACCCGAACAAATTAAATGAAAATAATGATGAGGACTGAACCTCCATTTGCCAGTAATGGTTTTTAATTGTTTACAGACTGGAAAAGAGGTAATTTTAAAGGACCCTCCATGTCCAATTCTCAACGATACCCTATAATCTTTATCTTGTCAATAATCGTTTTTTGAGCTTAAAAAGTGTTCAATTCTGACAATTTGTGTTGGTGCCGAAATGCTAAAGTCACTTTTTATCAAGGATGTAAGGCAAGGAAAGTCATTTCAGAAGTGTACACATCTTTAGTACTGCAGTGTACTGTCTCTGGGCGGTAATGTAAACACAAGACGGATGTCGAAGCCTGACATGGGATCCATCATTCACATAAAAATCAATAAAATATTCTGGTCATAGCAAATTATTATGTGAATTATCAAAATTATCAAAATTTAATGCTTTTAACCTCCTTTGATACTAAACGAACACTGATGCATCTATTATTGTTTACAAATTCCGCCCAGAGAGAACTGGTTTCAATATGTACACAGAGTATACACAACCGCAATGGACTTTCCTTGCCTTACATTCTTGCTTTTTATTAACACGATAAAAAAAATAATGCATTACTCAAGCATGCTTTATCACGGCTTTTCAGGGTACAGAGAGTCAAATTTCGACATCTCTGTTATTTCTTTTTGGCCCGTCGTTGTTTATAAAATAGGTCTCCATTGCTTAATAATCCCGGAAAAAAAACTCCCGCGATATTTATTATATTGTACAAATTTATAACATTTAATTACAAAATAATAAAAATTACTTACGAAAATTCTAATATATAGTTGTGACCCCCCCCCCCTCACTCTCCTACAACGTACTTTTAGCCCCTGATCTCCGGGGGGTGGGGTTTAGGGGAGGGGGGTGCGTGTTCAATTTTAGTCCAGATCAACCCCTTCTCAGGTTCAGGAAACGGTCAAAACTCACCATTTTCTAAAAACTGAGTGACGTCATAATTGCTATAGACAAAAACTAGTCTTTCGAATCACATTGTTCAGTGAAATCCCTGCTAAACTGCAAGTGAAACAATAATGAATGAGTTAATTCTAAAAAGATGAAAAAATGTGTTTCTATTCGTAAATTATACAAAGGGTAAAAATACTGCGGTTTAGGTAATTTTAGACATTTTACAGTTTAAGAAATTAAACAAGAGACAAAATTATATCTCTATATCTCACGTCAAAGCAACGTAAATTAATCGTAAGAACGAAATATTTTATGTTTTCAATACTAACTCATCTTATTAAAAAGCTATGGGGAAGAAAAAACTGTTTTGAATATTTAATTTGTAACAAGATAATTTTCCTTGTCTCAGACTTGCAAAAAAAAAATCCAAACTAGAAGAGCTACGAGGTTATAAAGTCACACCTGTCATGCCCAGGGAACAGGAATAAAGGGAAAGGAAATGGCGCTGGTCTGGCATGAGAAAGCCAGTCGCACTGCTTTGCAGACGAGTTCGTTAGCACATACGCACACTCTTTTGGTACAAACACACAACATGACCACAGTCAAGGAAATTGCAGAACAATGTCGTTAATTATAATTAAGCTTGAATAACGACTATATTTATTGTAAACTTTAATCAAGTTATATTCTTTGCATGAAAATTTGGCTTTATAGTGTTGACTAAAAACATGTAAATAATATATTACATGCATTTTATACTTTTTTTTAAGTAAACAATTAACAATAAACAAATGTACTCTCCTAGACTGTACAAATACCGAGATTCATACTTACTGTATAAACCTACAATACACACCTTTGGTACGGTAACCTTACACACACTCTTTTGGTACAGACACACACACATGACGTTTCCGCCCCCTGGTGATGTCGCATGAATTTGACTTTCTTCTTCTGACTATTTTACAGTGATCTTATAAATACAGCTTTGCTATATCATTCAAATGATTTCAATGTGCATACAATGTTTAACAGTAAATTGTACTAAAATTGATCCATTGTACAATTATTGTACCGTGTACGTTGTACAGGATGTACCAGTAAATGAAGGCACATTGAGTACAGTGATTCCAAAAGCTAGGTTTTTCTACTCTATCCAAGAAAACTTCGATCTTTGTTATTGCAAGCTTTCCTAATATGACACAGCAAAACACTCCCTTTTTCCTTCTCCTTAGATATACAGGGCTATCCACAAAGAATGAGACTTCAGAGATGATTGTACGAAATTTGTATTGCCTTTTTCTTACATTTCCCTAGGCAACTGTAAACTAGTCTCTTGCTGTGCCGAACCATTAAATAAGCCAATTAAAGATAATAATCAAAGCAAAAGGCATAAATTAATTTTGAAATCGTCATATTTTAGTTTCTGGTCGTGTTTACAGTCTCATCCTTTGTGAGTAACCCTGTATAATCTTTTGTTCGATTAGATAGACATTATTTAACTTTACTTTTGCTGGATATCTTGGGATCGCGCTAAATAATCAGTAAAAATTTGTTAACGAATCGGGCATATACATATATATATCCTTGCTGTGTACTACGCGAACCAAGCATCTGTAAATATATTTAATCTTTATAGGAAAACTGTTCATTTTTTAGAATTATAAAACAAAACTATTTCACTAAATAAACATTAAACTATATGAAAGGACCTAGATTTGTATTAATCTATTTTTCAGGCTTTGCAAAAACTTGTTAAATAAATGAACCTTTTAGGTAAATAATAAACTAGAAAAGGATTATGACGCAGTTTTCCAATTGTTGCTTTTTAATTCCACGAAATAAAAACAAAAAAATATCAAAACATGATTTTGTGATTTTCAAAGTTAAGCTTCCAATTAAAATATTTTTTAGCTTTTTTAGTGAAAAATTGAATAAATTGTGTACTTGTAATTCCTACCCAATATTGAGAAATAAATTTCATGGCAATTGTATACAAGTTCAAAATAAAAGATTCATAAAATATACATAAATCATTTTAATTGTCTTGCTTGAATATTATTTCTCTTTGCGTCCTAATACTCCTCTTGATATAAGAAAGAAACGCGCAAACATAGCGTATCAGCAATAAAAAGATTATTTGAAATTATTGCAAACAAATATTGTCGTTTATTTTCATATTTAATATGTATATTCACGTCAAGAAAATATATTCTTTTCTTTTTTAATTTTAATTTCACTTTGGTCAATATTTAGTTTTGTGGATCATGCATTAAGTTCATGTTCAAGGTTTAAGACTAGAGTTTATATCATGGTTAATGTTCAAGGTTCATGTTCTAGGTTTGTGTCAAGAGTTCATGTGAATGGTTATGTTTAAGATTTATGTCTAGAGCTCATGTATTTGGTTTATGTTCAAGGTTTATGTCTAGAGTTTATTTCTATGGTTCATGTTCAAGGTTTATGTCTAGGGTTCATGTGTATTGTTTATGTTCAAGGTTTATGTCTAGAGTTCATGTTTAAGGTTTATGTTCAAGGTTTATGTTTAGAGTTCATGTTCAAGGTTTATGTCTAGAGTTCATATGTATGGTTCATGTTCAAGGTTTCAGTTTAAAGTTTATGAACATGGTTCATGTTCAAAGTCTTGTTTCAGTCTCTTAACCTAAACTTAGTTTTAAAAACCGTGTCTTTAGATCCAAATGCATTCTTAAGTTCCAGTCTCTGAATCTTATATCGGTTACACAAAACGCGTGTATGGTTTTTGTACAATTTTAAGTTCTAAGCTCTTAATCTGAACTTGGTTTCACAAACTTTCATAAGCTTCCGTCTTCACATATGAACTCAGTTTTACTAACGTATTTCTAGACCTTGTACTATCTTAAGTTCCAGTCTCTGAGTCTGAACTTTGATCTGAGATATATTAAATAGTCCTAATTATATGTATTTTTCTAATCACAACATTTTCTAAACATCAAGTGTACACAATAGTTTCAGAACGACCCTTAAAGGGACTGTAAGCGTGAGTTCAAGTGACCCTCCATACAAAAAGGACAATGTCTGGCTTACAACAGTACCCTTAAAAGCTTTGTCTGATCAAGTATATATTAGATATGAATGTTTTGATTATTTGAAATGTTTATTTTAATTTGTGACATGTGAGTTTATTGCTTTTAAGAAACAATGGATAAATTCACAAAAATAAACACCTTTCGAGTCAGAAAAACGATGATATCTTCCACATTTTCATTAGATCAAGGTTTTAAGGGTGTCGTTGTAAATCGGGCATTGCATGGTCCGAGCCGGTACAACATTTACTGTATATGGTCGAGCCGGTTCAATATTTACTGTATATGCATTCAGTTTACCTTCCAGTCAGGCTTCTAATTACCCGTGTAGAGTCGATCCAGCACGTTTTATTTAACAAATCTAGCCTGACAAAATCACAGTGCATGCTATCTCTGCTTGAAGGTTTGCTTAAAATTACGCTTACAGTCCCTTTTATATCATATTATTATCACGCTTCTAACACATGTAGTTTAACTTGTCTCATTTTTACATTGTTGCTTGATAAATTTTTGAAAGTTATGAAAGGATTCTATTTTAAAAAACATTTACATATTTTAAAGACATGTACATTTTATAAAACATGCACATAGTTAATAGACATGTACATTTTACAAAACATATAGACATGTACATACTTTATAGACATGTCTATTAAATATGTAAATATAAAATATTTACATATTTTATATAACAGACATGTAAATTTTATAAAACATGTACATATTTTATAGAACATGTACATACTTAACAGACAGGTACATTTTATAAAACATGTAAATATTTTATATAACATGTACATATTTGATAGACATGTACAATTTATAAAACATGTACATATATTTTGAAGACATGTACAATGTACATACTTTATAAACATTTTATAAAAAAGAAAAACCATTTATTCAAAATAACCTTTTCCGATTATTTGCTAAATTTTTTTTTTAACATGAATTATTTTTACTTTTACGTAATTGATTAAATTCCAAGAATTAAGTTTTTGTCACAAACTGAAAATATCTCATCCCTATATTTTTGCAAACTGATATTTCAAACTTCTTTTATCCCACAGAATTCATAATTTGAAATATCTTAAGGTGGCAAACATTAAAAGATTAGAGTTTGTAGCAAAGAATAAATTCCTATGAATTAAACGTAATCTTTTTAAAAAGTTCTAATCAAATGACTTTTAACGATGCTTGCTTTTTTTCAAAAATTTTAAAAATTTTTCACTTTTACGTAAATTATTAAATTCCAAATTTTGGTTGATGGAAAAACTATGAGATAAATGATACACTAAAACATACTTATTTTAGCCTCTATTTAAAAATTAGCTATATGTAACCTATAAACAATATCCAAGTTAAGATAATTAAGATATATATATTCTTTTCTTTTTTCTTGCTTTCTTACTTGGACACTTTGAAAGTAAAGTAAATTTTTAATCAAAACTCCTCTTATTGAAGAGTTATTGAGATGTTTTGTATTTCTATTAGTTCACCAAATAAATTTACTTCCCTCCTACTTCATAAAATTTTAGAGGAGCTACGAGGTCACAATGTTGCACAATTGATGTTGCAAAAATTTGACTTATTTCATCTGTCCAGTTTGCAATGATGAAGGATTGAATCCAAACCATGTAAAAATTTCCTTGACAAAAAAGCTGTATCAACATTTTATATTTGCATGTATATTTGTTGTAACGGAGTTCAAAGTGCGTATTTTTAACAAAGAATGTCAGATCATGGTTGGAATCAATTATTTCTGTATATGGGAACTCTGCTGGGTGTTTACATAAATGAGAAGCTCCCTAAATCCCCCCACAGAAAGTAAAAACGCTCCTATATATTCCGTAACAAGTTTTTACCAATAAACATTTTTCAACCCCCACCATGAATCAATTAGTTAGACCTAAGGTTTAACATTGTATATTTGTATATATATTATATTTGTATATTTGTATATATATTATGTTTGTATATTTGTATATATATTATATTTGCATTATATTTGTATATATATTATATTTGTATATTTGTATACAGCTTATATTTGTATATAGGAGGTTTACGTCATAGTTATGACGTATTATAAAAACACCTTTTTAAACAGTAAACACACATAAAATATTTCGTTAGCTATAGTTTCAATAGAAGTAAATATTTCCATTTACTGATAGCGCCGATTGAAGGACTCATAACTCTGATTGGATAAAGAGATAGATAGAAAGATAGATGTTACCACCATACTATTTTTATTGGTTTAGAAAAGACAAAAAACACATGACTGAACCCTGATTGGATCAGGTGTTAATGAACTCGGCATATACAGAAGTGCGTCCGTACTTTTCAGATTTGGAATTTAAATGAGAGCACGGATCGACAAGGAATATTGATGTAGTCAATGCGTATTCCCTTCCGAAAACTTTGTCATCCATTTTTAATGTTGATATTTTGAAATTAATTTTTATTTTTTGCGCTCAACTTGTAAAATATATGTAACTTACCGCCGGTTCAAATCCTAAATCAGCGACTTTGAATCACTGATTCTAGATTTGAACCGTGGGCGGCTAAAGGTAGTTCAGCGACCTCGCTCAAATTGATTAAATTTGGTCCCAGTTTCGTCACGCTTTGGTTCATGGTTTAAAAAAAAACAGATAAATGCATGTGAAAAGTGAAAAGTATTTTGGCACCACAAGAAAACTCAGAGCTTCCCTAAAAAACTGTCAGAAAAATTAATAAAAACCCGCGAAGATAACCCTGAAATTTAAAATAAAAACTTTTGATGATATGAACTCAAACAATATTTTTTACCTACAAAATGTGTTAGAAAACGTGCAATATTGCCTTTCCCATAAACAGTATAAAAAGACGCTAAAATATTAAATTTCTTTATTCATAACCATTTATCTGATCGATAATGTGGAAGATAGGTGTATTTTTCTAGCAAGAAATACACAAGTCACTTTCATTAAGAAATCATAATTGAAAATATCCATATTTTATAAAGAAATCAGGATTCTTTTGAAAGATTATATTTAAATCTTTTTGGACTATATTTTTTGCCCAGACTCACGAAGCTAAATAATAAATGCGGGAAAAATCTATATTCCGTTGGAAAATACTTTTTATATATATTATATAAATATACAAGTGATATAACAAATGTTTATTAACACGTCATCATTGTGCTAACAAAAAAAAATGTTTTCATTCATTTTAAATAGAAAATTTACTTTTTTGACATCATTATACAATACAATATAATGTTACCACATGGAAAATTTGTGATTGAAATTGAAGATTTGTTCTATTATGTATATTACAAAAAAAATGTTGAGGGGTAGGGGGGTAGAACGTTTATAATCCTGAGCGGTCAAAAAGTTTTGGCTTAATTTAGGTTAGTCAATAAATAGACACCCAAGACATCTTCTGTATGATAAAATGGTAAATAAAGACCATTTTATTTTGGGGAGCACTGTATATTTATGAAAAGTTTTCTTCATTTTCCATTTTATTCGGTGAGCACTGAATATTTTGAAAAGTCGTCAATGCTTACCATTTTATTTTGGGGCGCACTGAATACATTTGAGAAGTTGTCTTCGTTTTCCATTTTATCATGTACACTTAAGGTGAAATAAAAGCTACACTTATTTTTATAACCCAAAAAGACGATGATTAAAATCCCCCCCCCCCCCCCACCCGACTAAATTATGGTTTATTTTCACACTGCACCTAATATCAACAATGATCAGTGTAGCCAAGAATGTAAGGCAAGGAAAGTTAATTGCAGTTTATACTCTGCGTACATATTGAAACCAGTTCTCTCTGGGCGGAATTTGTAAACAATAATAGATGCATCAGTGTTCGTTTACCATCCGAGGAGGTTAAAAGCATTAAATTTTGAAAATTTTGATAATTCACATAATAGTTTCCTATGACCAGAATATTTCATCGATTTTTTTATGTGAAAGATGGATTCCATTTCAGGCTTCGACATACGTCTTGTGTTTACATTACCGCCCAGAGACAGTACACTGCAATACAAAAGATGTGTACACTTCTGAAATAACTTTCCTTGCCTTACAATCCTTGAGTGTAGCTGATTAAGCAAAATACACACGTCACAATCTAGCGTACAAATTCCTCCACTTGTCCAGACGAGTATTCATATATATATGATAAAGGAACAAGAAACACAGTGTCCAGCAAACTCCTCTATAAATAAACAAAAGAAAATGTTCCAAACTTATTTAAGAAGATATATATATATGTAAGCTAGTTGGCCAAATGGCTGGACCGAATTGGTGGACATTTCTTAGGGAAACCATGGGTAACCTGGCTAAAAGAATTGGAAATTTTTGTTTTTCAAAATTCAACGAGCAACATAAGCTAGTATAGAAATATGGATACATACTTGAAAGTATTTTAATTTCAGGATGGAAGGATTAACTATAACACCGGTATCTAAAAGCTCCCAACTAGAAAACTGGAGCTTACAATGGCGCTCCAACAACGATTCTCTAGCTTCAGGCTCCACGATTAATGGAACGGCCTCAGCGTCAGCTTTAAACAAGATCATTTTAAAAATGGAGGAAGCTAGGAGAGGTACTAACCGCTCTCAAAGTAGCAGCTATTCTGCTCCTGAATCACTTTGTAGCAGCAGCACAAAGGACTGCTCTGTAGTAAGCAGCTCAATGCCAAACAAATCTTTGAGCAGCAGCAAGCAGCCACTAACTTCTTCAAAACAGCTGTTTGCGAGATTTCATTTAAATCGTAATGGAAACCTTCCAGTAATAGTCACTGGAGGCGCTAGTTCAGATGAAAATGGCGGGAAAAGTTGTCAGATTAACGAAAATCCTTCTTTTTATTCAAATGGAATTAGGAAAACCAATATCAGTAACTTATCAATCAAATCTAAAATGTCAAAAAACAGCAATGGAATTTTTCCACGCAGAGCTTCCTGTGAGAGTGTTGATAAGGGCAATAAAGAGAAAGATGAAACAGAAAATAACTCCAGTAAAACCGGTTTTAAAGAGACTCTGGAAAACAGATTGAATGTTAAATTTCTTTCAGCTGAAAATTTGTCAAGCTCTTCAAAAATAGAACAGGTAAAATGTTGTTTTTATGTGAATTGTAGCATTGTAGGTAAATAATCATTTGACGGTACTTTTTTTAATTATGAATTTAAATCAAAAATTTTATTTTTAGAACAATCGAGTAGATTTAGACGAACTTCAAAGGAACGGAGAAAATTCATCATTAAACCTTCGAACTTCAGACATCCCTCGAGTCGAGGTTTTTCAAAGAAATGATCAGATTAAAGAATACCCTGCAGGAACAAGGTTTTTACTATTATTATTATCAGGATAATAGCTGAATTAAACGGTGGTAAGGAGAGAATACTGCTAGAATCCTCCTCCTCCTGTAAACAGCAAGATAAGGTTTAATATTGTTTGTTTTTATTGTTTATATGCTTACTCATTAGTCATACACATCAATATTCTGTACAATAAACTGTGGAATAGGAAGACGATTATTAAACTCAAGTCATAGTTTATAATAGTTCAATAAACATGAAGCATGGCCCATTGTGGACTGGTGTGCAATGTAAAAAGAACCATGTGTTTCAAATAAAAAGTTGAGTTTTAAGCTATAACTGTTAAAACTGTTTGCTTCATACCAACATCAAATACACATTAGATTAAATCGATGTTGTTTTCTTATTCCATAGTTGTATTGGTATTATTGTACAGTGTTTACAGATATAGACCAACCTCACTCTACCACTCTACACTAAACTCTTCTATATCTTCGGTTATAGTACAGTCTGCAGATTAATGCAGAACACACATTACACGCACCCCTGACCCTTTAGTAAAAGTAAATTCAACCTTAAGTCTGACCGCATCACATCTGTCTTGTGTTTACATTACCGCCCAGAGACAGTACACTGCAGTACAAAAGATGTGTACACTTCTGAAATAACTTTCCTTGCCTTACAATCCTTGAGTGTAGCTGATTAAGCAAAATACACACGTCACAATCTAGCGTCCAATGTCCGGGTGATACAGTACAAACTGGGACCGGAAAGGTTGACCCGGCTCGGAAATTCAAATGTACTATGGCTGCCTGTGATTGAGGGTGACCAGGATCGGAAGATGAGCAAATAAAGAACTTCTCCCCTGAAGGAACTGATTGTTCATCTCAACTCTAATTTTCATATCTTTTTAACCGGTTTCAATTGAGCGCCGGCTTAAATCTTGAAACAATGAATACGATTTTAAGTGGAACCAACGATATTTGAGTCGCGGCTTAAATTTAAGCTGCGGCTCAAATTCTTTAAATTTGACCTCTGATGCCTTAAACCTTTGATACTTCAAACTTTGAATTCTGCTGGACTAACTGGTGAATGTTCTAAAAATCAAAAGTTTACACCAGTGAGAAGTAGCTGAGCAATGCAGGGGTAGTTCAACCACTTCCCTAGTAAGTGGTTCAAGTTCAAGCCGAGTGTTTGAACCACATCTTTTCTGTTCAACCATGTCTGGTTATTAATAAATTTCCAGGGTTCAATTACATATACATCTATATATATATATTTATATATATAAAGTTGTAATCTCTGTTTGTCTGTCTATCTGTCTGTTTGTGTGTCCGATCACTAATCAGGAAACCCTGGACCGATTTGCGTCAAATTTTGATTGGGGAAGTCGGGAGACCCATAACTTGGTTTTGAGATTCTAAGTTGAATGGGTCGACTTTAATAGCGAACATTTAGTTTTCTCCGATAAATCGTTCAAATGCGGGTAAACGGCGGGAATTACTTTTACCAACCTGGGCTGCGCTGAGTTCACAAGCTATAGTATATATATATATATATATGTGTATATATATATATATATATATACATATATATGTCTGTGAATGGATTTGAAATTAGATTTTGATGCGAGAATTTGGCCGATTTATTATAATAAATATAGGATAAATAGCAAATTGTAAGGTTTTCATACTTTTTTCTTCCAATAATAAATAATTTAAAATAAAATTATCTATCTTTCTAAATATTGCTCAAGACGTGAAGTTTGAATAAACTGTCCGCATTAGATAAACAAACAAATGTTTTTGCTATCGTATGATTTAGAGGATATTAGGTAAATATTAAAGATATTTCGTAATTTTAGATTTTAGATTTAGAATTATGTTATTATGTTCCAAGACACATTTGCATTTTTTTTCAAAAAATCATGCTGTCAACCTGTCACTAAAATAGTGCTGGTAGTCTTTTCCTAAAAAATGCTGTCACTTTGTTTTTAAAACTGTCAGTTTGTTCCTGAAAAGATGCTTTCAATTTGTTCCTAAAAACTTTCTGACAATTTGTTCTTGAGAGACATATGCTGTCAGTCTGTTCCTTATGAACATGCTGTTAATCTGTTCCTTAGGAACATGCTGTCAGTCTGTTCCTTAGGAACATGCTGTCAGTTTGTTCCTTAGGAACATGCTGTCAATATGTTCCTTAGGAACTGTCAATTTGTTCATACGACACGTACGAGGTGTGTTCAATAAGTTTCGTTAAATTTGTTTAGGGTTACTTCTAGAATTGTCTCAGCTCTTCGTTGTCACAGCATAAGAATATCTAGAATATAAACTACAAAAATGGAACACTTTGGAGGCTGGGTTACAAAAAATGTTTTTATTAGACGATGCAAAAACCAAGCCAAAACCTTAAACATGATCCAGAACGAATTTATAACGATTTTTATTAACTTTAATGGTGGTTTAATATTATTAATAAGGAAAACATTTATAGTTGAAGGATTATGACATGTCCGGGTGGGAGAAGACCACCAAGACCCCAAAATATTTGAAAAGGATTTGAGTCTTTGCCACAAACTTAGATTTTCTAATCCCTGAATCTTTGCACTGATGACGTAAGCCTTTGATATTTCAAACTATAAATTCTGTTAGACCGAATAATCTAAGTTTGAAATATCAAAGGTTTACACCATTGGGTTAAAAATATATAGATTATAGAAGTTTGAAAATTTAAATTCCTTTGTCAAACTAAGCAAGGGTTCAATAAGTATGTTCACCAGATAGTCTGATATATGCTTTTACATTGTAAGCAAAGTTGTCAAGCAAGGTTTGAAAATGACAAAGATCTGGGTTAAATTTGTCCCTGACATAGAACCAGAGAGATTACATTGATTATGGATCTTATATGTAAATCAAATCCAGAAAAATCCTAAAAAGTCCTTCATACATTCAATATGCTATTTCTTTTTCTTTTGATTGCTCTTAAAGGGTCTAAAAAAGACTCTGATGGATCAGGTTTAAGACCATTCTGAAAATTTTCTTGCTGTGACGAACGAAGCTGATTACTTTCTGGAGAACGCTCCTTACATTACAACAAAGATCTGATTGACATCAATTAAACTAAAAAATATAGTGAACTTTCGAAAATTACAGGACTAAGACATCTAGAAGTACCTCTAACATGTGTATGCAAAACTTATTAAACACATCTCGTATGATGTCAATTTGTTTATAAAACAAATGCTGTAAATTTGTTCATGCGACTCATGCTTATTTGTTCATAAAATACATCCTGTCAATTTGTTCCTAAGAATCATACTTTGAATTTGTTCATAAGATACATACTGTCAATTTGTTCATAAGATTCATACTTTGAATTTGTTCATAAGATACATACTGTCAATTTGTTCATAAGATACATACTGTCAAATTGTTCATAAGATACATATTGTGAATTTGTTCATAAGATACATACTGTCAATTTGTTCATGAGATACATGCAGTCAATTTGTTCATAAGATACATACTGTCAATTTGTTCATAAGATACATGCAGTCAATTTGTTCATAAGATACATACTGTCAATTTGTTCATAAGATACATGCAGTCAATTTGTTCATAAGATATATACTGTCAATTTGTTCATAAGATGCATGCTGTCAATTTGTTCATAAGAAAAATGCTGTCAATTTTTTCATAAGATACATGCTGTCAATTTGTATATAAGATACATGCTGTCAATTTGTTCATAAGATACATACTGTCAATTTGTTCATAAGATGCATGCAGTCAATTTGTTCATAAGATACATACTGTCAATTTGTTCATAGGATGCATGCAGTCAATTTGTTCACAAGATACATACTGTCAATTTGTTCATAAGATACATGCTGTCAATTTGTTCATAAGATATATGCAGTCAATTTGTTCATAAGATACATGCTGTCAATTTGTTCATAAGATACATGCTGTCAATTTGTTCATAAAACAGCATGCATGAAAAACTTGAAATCCTCAAAATATGGATCTTCCAAAACAACTTTTCATATATAGTTTTCTTTTTTTAGTTAAAAAAAATTTGATGTTTATGATATTATTAAGCAAAACCTTAACCATAACAAATCCAATTTGATCAAATTATATTTTTTCTATGTTTAATTATGTCCCATAAACATCCGGGTTCTTTATAATTGTTATACAACAATACTCGAACGTAAATATTTTTCCAATGTTTATATTAGCTTATAAACCTACAGGGTGACCTATTAATAAGCTTTTAAACCTACAGGGTGTCCCACTAATAAGCTCTTTAACCTACACGGTGTCCCACAAATAAGCTTTTAAACCTACAGGGTGTCCCACTAATAAGCTCGTCTAACCTACACGGTGTCCCACAAATAAGCTTTTAAACCTACAGGATGACCCACTAATTAGCTCTTGAACCTACAGGGTGTCTCACAAATTAGCTCTTAAACCTACAGGATGTACCACTAATTAGCTCTTGAACCTACAGGGTGTCTCACAAATTAGCTCTTGAACCTACAGGATGTACCACTAATTAGCTCTTGAACCTACAGGATGTACCACTAAACGTGGCAGTTTAGAGACGACTTTAAAATCGGCTTTGAAAGATATCTTTAAAAATGTAATTTATTTAATATAAAAAGGGCCTTCTTAAAAGCTTGTAAATCGTGCAACCATTAAAAAATACACATTTGTCATGAATAATAAATCTGCAAATTATATGAAACATCTTTTTCTTAGGAACCATTAGCTACGTTCTATCAAAAGTTTATACATAGTTCGTTATTACGATAAAAAAATCTATTAATGAATAATTTCTTCTAACCTAAAAGTTCTTTCTTGCTTTATTATTTAGATATCTCCATAATGCATGGAAGTTACAGCTTATTAATTAGTGAATTAGAATTATTTTAAAGGAAGTGACTTGCTATGTATGGAACTGAGAATGAAGTATTGTGGAGACATTTTTTAGGAATCCTTTGAGACCTATCAGACGTTTTTATAG